ATTAATAACAAAATCTTGTTTACCCATGTAGTTACCATTTGGAGACTCTGTTCCTTTGCACAGATCCAGATTTCCATCTCATATGAATTCCTTTCTGCCTGAAAAACTTTAACATTTTAGGTCGTCCAGGTCTTCTGGTGATGAATTCTCTTACCTTATGTATGACTGAAAGTGTATTTTGACTTTACTTTTGAAAGATATTCTTACTGGGAATAAAATTCTAGTTGACAAGTGTTTTTCCCTTCAGTACTTTAAAGGTGTTCCACTGTCTTCTCATTTGTACTGTTTCCAACAAGAAATCAGCTGTCATCCCTTGTTCCTCTGCATGTGGTATGTTTTCCTTTGGATGCTTTAAAAATGTTATCACTGGTTTTGAGCAATTTGATTATCATCTGATTTAGTGTAATTTTCATCATGTTTATTATGCATAGGGTCCATTGAGGTTCTTGGATCTGTGGGTTTATAGTTTTCATTGATTTTGGAAAAATTTCAACCATTAGTTCTTTTTTTTTTTTCCCCTGCAGCTGGCCAGTGTGGGGATCTGAAGGCTGACCTTGGTGTTGTAAGGCTGCATTCTAACCAACTGAGCTAACTGGCCAGCTCTGCAATCATTAATGCTTATAATATTTTTTCTGACTCTCCTGCCCCTGCTTTGTTGGCTCCAATTACATGTATATTAGGCCACTTCAGGTTGTCCCACAGCTCACTCATCTCTAGTCTTTTCAGTCTTTCTTCTGTTTCATTTTCCATAGTTTCTATTGCTTTCTCTTCAAACTCATTAATCTTCTCTTATGTAATGTCTAATCTGTCATTAATTCCTTCTAGTGACTTTTCTATCTCAGCATCATTTTCATCTCCAGAAATTAGATTTGGTTCTTGTAGTGGACTGAATTATGTCTCCCCAAAACTCCCTGAAGCTTGAATTGTGTCCCCCAAATTTTATATATTAGAAACTTGGCCCCCACAGTGACTATTAATAGGGTGGGAAATCCTATTATGGTAATTGAAAGGTCGAGGCTTGAAGAGGTGATTAAATTGTAGGAGCATGCCACAGTGAATGGATTAAAAATGGTGGTCAGGGGTGTGGTTCTGATGGCTTTAAAATAAGAGGAAAGTCTGTCTTGTTCTCTCTCTGCTTCCAACATCTTGCAATATGAGACCCCTGGGTTGCTGTTGCTACCACCAGATGGACTTTGGACTTCCCAGCCTCAGAAACTGTAAGCAATAAGTTTCATTTTCTTTCTCAATTACCCAGTTCCTGGTATTCCGTTAGAGCAACACAAAACAGACTAATACAGGTCTTTTAAAATGTCTTCCATGCCTTTGCTTAGTAAGTCCAATATTTCCTCTAGCTCCTTGGACATATGGAATAAATTTACTCTGTTTCAGTATCCTTATATTCTAATTCTATCATCTGTGTCACTTCTGTTCAGGTTCACTTGACTAATTAGAAGTTTTTCTTCTAATTACAGTTGTATGTTCTTGCTTCTTTGCATCCCTACTAATTTTTTATTAGATGCCAGACAATGTAAACTTTATCTTGCTTGGTGTTGGGTATTTTTATATTCCTATACTCTTATACTCTGTTGTGATATGTGGTTAAGATACTAGGAAGTAGCATTATTCTTTTGGGTCTTGCCCTTATAAGCTTTGTTAGTGGGACCAGAGTAGTGTTAGAGGCTGTTTTTGCCCACTACTGTGGCAAGATCCTTCTCAGTACTCTAATGCCTTGTGAATTATGAAGTTTTCCACTCTGGCTGTTGGGAACAGATAGTATTCCCAGCCTTGTGTGAGCACTGAGCACCGTATTAATTTCTTATTGCTGTGTTACAATTATGACACATTTAGCAGCTTAAAACAACACCCACTTTTTAGGTCATAGTTCTGCAGGCCAGAATTTCACATGGCATGGCTGGGTTCTCTGCTGAGGTTATCACAAAACTGAAAAAAGCGTCGGCCAGTCTAAGTTCCTGTGTGGTGGCTCAGGAGATAAATCTACTTCTTTTTTTTTCCTTTTTGTCTTTTTTCGTGACCGGCAACAGATCGCAACCCTCAGTGTCGCGCCCGTACCGGACCGGGACCAGCAATGGGATCGCAACCCTTGGTGTCGCGCCCACACCTCGCTCAGCCAGTGAGCGGCTGGTCTGTATGTGGGATCTGAACCCTCGGCGGGAGCGCCGCTGCGCTCCCAAGCGGCGCACTGTTACAGTGCGCCACTGGGCCGGCCAGAGATAAATCTACTTCTAAGCTTATTTTTATTGTTGTCAAAGTTTAGCTGCTTGTAGCTTTAGGACCCAGGTGACTGTTTCCTTGCTGGATTCCAGCTGGAGACCACTCTCAGCTTCTGCATTCCTTGCCATGTGGTCCCTTCCATCTTCAAGTTGGCAATGGTGTATCAAATCCTTCCCATGCTTTGAATCTCTGACTCCTCCTACTGACCTCTAGAACCAGATTTAAAGGACTCTCCATTCTTTAAAGGCAACAGTGCCTTATAACATAATCTAATAATGAGAGTAAAACCCTTTCTATTTACAGTCCTGGGGAGTATGCAGGATGGGCATCTTAAATTCTGGCACCAGTTATTACTCCCTCTGATTTTTTCTGATGGCTCTTTCCTGGCTTTGAGCAATTTCCTCACATGCATGTACTAATCAGTACTCAGCTGAATACTCAAGGGGGATTCTCTGCAGATCTTTAGAATTCTCTGTGAAACCGATTCCTCTTTGTTACTCTTCCATGTGACTTCCAGTAACCTTGGCTTCCCTGGACTCCCAGATGTATTTATTCAAGGAGACCAAGGAGCTCTGCTGGGGTTCCCCCTCCTTGCATCCTGACCTTCTCCAAGCTGTGAGTTGGGGCAATTGTAGGGCTCACCCTGTTACCTGTTTCTCAGGGCTCATTTTCTTTTGTTGTCTGATTTCCAATGACAGGCTGATGTCCAACATCTTGAGAGCTGTGTTTTCATATATCTTGTCCAGTTTTTCAGTTGTTTCAAGTGGCAGGGTAACTCCAGTCCCTTTCACTCCACCTTGATTGAAACTGGAAGCCTTCTCACTTTTTTTAAAAAAACAGTTTTACTTTAGAAGTTTGCATCTCTAAACACTAACTTAGTTTCTGAGCTTTCTATAATTCCATGGTGCAGTCTTCTGCAACTTGCTGTCCCCTCTCAGCATTATGTTCCTGAGATTCATCATGTTGTTTTATAGCAGTTATTCAATCATTTTCACTGTGGTATATTCCACTGTATTAAAATATCATAGTTTATCTGCCATTCTACTGTTGATAGGCATTTGGGTTATTTTCAGTTTTTTCAATCATGAAGCATGCTTCTTTTAAGATTCTTTTTTTTTTGTCTTTTTGTCTTTTTTCCGTGTCCGGCAACGGATCGCAACCCTCAGTGTTGCCCCCGTACCGGACCGGGGACCGGCGACGGGATCGCAAGCCTCGGCGTTGCTCCCGCGCCTCGCTCAGCCAGTGAGCGGGAGCCGGTCTGTACGTGGGATCCGAACCCTCGGACGGGAGCGCTGCCGCGCTTCCCAAGCGGCGCACTATCCAGTGCGCCACCGGGCCGGCCCAATGAATCTTTCCACAAACTCGGCGGGAGCGCCGCCGCGCTCCCAAGTGGCGCACTGTAGCAGTGCGCCACCGGGCCGGCCCCCTTTTAAGATTCTTGAATGCTTCCTGGTACTTACAAATGTCCTTGCTGTGTGCATGCAGGAGTGGAGACAGTGAACATATTCATTATTTTCAGCTTCATTTGATAATGCTGAACTGATTCCAAAGTGGCTGTGTGAATTTACATCCCCATTAACTGCTCCACATCCACACCATTAACTGCTCCATACCACACTTGATATTGTCAGATCTTTCTATTTTTTTTCATTCTGAAGATGTTACATGATATACCATAGTGGTTTTGATTTCCAATCTACTGATGAATAATGAGGCTGAGCACATTTTCTTTTTTTTTCTCTTTAGTTTTCCTCTTCCACCATGAACTTTTTTTTACGTCCACTTTTCTTTCTGTGTATTTCTGTGCCTTTTTCTTCTTTTCAGAGCAATTTATCTGTTAAGTGTGTTCTGTATTGATAAATTAAAACAGTGAGGATTTAACAGATTCTTCATTTAAAAAATCTGAATTCACTGTCATCTGTTTAACAAGATTTTAACATATCTTATTTTAGAAACTTATACTATGTGTTTTTTAAACTGATAGACACCAAGTTTTAGTTGTTGATTTTTTTTTACCTATTTCATCTTCACAGAAGAAAAGCCTGTAGGCCAAAGAAATAATTCCTCGTTTGTACTGAAAAGTATCATTTCCATTGTTTGAAGTTTCTTGAATGGGTGGCTTCTGACCTGATGCCAGAGTAACAAGAAGAGCAAAATGACTTTATTTATTTATTTATTTAAAAGATGACCAGTAAGGAGATCTTAACCCTTGACTTGGTGTTGTCAGCACCATGCTCACCCAGTGAGCAAACTGGCCATCCCTATATGGGATCTGAACCCGTGGCCTTGGTGTTAACAGCACCGCACTCTCCCGAGTGAGCCACAGGCCAGCCCCCAAAATGACTTTAACGATAAAAAATAAATCGCACATGAGGTTACTCACTCAATAATTCATGGCATAAAAGCATTAGATGACTGTGGGACAGATTGAAGCTGCTGTGAAGACTGCCAATACTCCGCACCTGCTAGCACCTTGCATCCACACTGAGCAGACACTGTCCAGAAGCCACTCGCTTTTGGAATGATGGCTTCAGTTGTCTTGAGTACAGGGTAGGGAAATATGTTTTAAGTGTGACAAAGCAAGTAAAGGGGAAAAAAAGTGATCCCACTAAAACAAATTTTTAATTTAAAAAAACCCTCCCTATTTTGTAGGGAATTGTATAATGAACTTCATAGCACCCTGGGGAATTTCTTTTCATCCTGGTGAAACATGTACTTTAAAACCTTCAGGGATTGTACTGAATTAAAAAGATCAGACATACACTTACCCCATGGACAAAAACTGTCTTGCTGCATATAGGTTGTAGTGCGGTCACATTTGAGGTTGTCTATAAAAGGAACAGAGAGTTGAAGTGATAACAAAACACTTCCCTGTTACAACATGTAAGTGCAATTCACTGAGTTAAAACAGCAGGTGTGGGGCTGGGCAGGCGCACACACTTATCCGTCCTAAGGAACTGCTAGGGCAAGGCACTGGTGCACTCTGCTCCTCACTGGCTCTGATGCCTATGGCAGTGACCCAGGCTGTGGCAGGTGGCTTCTGCTTCTATGCACATCATTTATCTAAAACTCAGTCAGTCCCATCTTTCTCTGTGGCCTGTGCCAGAGGCAGAGCAACCAGGAGCTTCTGTGCAAAAATTGTCATCTTCAACCTCCCATACACTTGGAGACTTTCACAGTCTCTTCAGCATCAAATTCAAAAGGTTCTCAAAAGGAGTCTAAAATCTCCATCAGGTGAGAGCACAGGCAGCCCCGGGAGCTCAGGTCTGGTTTGGCAGTGGTGGCTAAACTCCCTCCCTGTTTTCTTGCCTCCTATGGTAGCAGTCAGCAGTCTAAAGTTCTGTGCAAGATTTCCATGACTAATGTTGTCTCTTGTTTACAGTCGCTGGAAAATTAAATTCCTTTGAGGCTGGCAGATCAACTGTTCCTCAGATCTGAGTTTGCAGGCTGATAACAGGCAGATTGCCTGTAATACCTAGTGCCCTGAACACAGAGTGTCTAGAAACAAGGAATAGCTTTCAAGGGGAAAACCACCACACCTGAGGTGCTGATGTCAATCACTCAATGGAAGTATTGCCTGTGCTGTCCCGAATCACCCCAGGGGGACACATCTTGACAGGACAGGCTGACTGAGGTTTTCCCAAGACTCAGACCTTGCAGGCAGCGGTTGTTGCCTAAAGCAACTGTAAACATGGCCTTCAGGTTTGGATCTGTCTGTATCTATGCCATCTTCCCTTTTATAATTTTACCCATAAAAGTCTTGCACATCTTTTGTTAGATTAATTACTGGATACTTTACACTTCTGATGCTATTATAAATGTTATCTTTTTAAAAATTACCCCACTGTTTGTTGCTGACAAATAGAAATACAACTGGTTTTGTATTCAGCAGCATTGGTAAATTCTCTTCTGAATTCTAATCAATCTTTCTCCAAGTTGACAATCACATGAAGTGCAAACAACACTTTTCTTTTTCCTTTCCAATTCTTACAGCTTTAGTTTTGTTGTTGTTTTAATTTGCCTTATTTTGCACATGGGACCCTCAGTACAATGAACATGGGAGGGCTGGCCAGTTAGCTCAGTTGGTTAGAACACGGTGTTGTAACACCAAAGTTGAGGGTCTGGATCCCTGTACTGGCCAGCCACCTAAAAAAAAAAAAAAAGAAAGACATGGGAATAGTGGGCTCCTTTATCTTCCTCTTGACCTCAAACAGTGAGCTTTCGGCCCTACCATGAGTGCCAGGTTCAGAAACTTCCCTTTTATGTTTAGGGACTTCATTCTTTTCTAAATCAACCAGGTAACCCTCAAAACCTGAACTTCCCATTAGGACTAGACCTGGCTAACCAGTCTGTCCCTCTGGGCAGGGACAGAATCACTACGTCTTGCCCCAAACTTGCTTTTACAGGGCTTTGCATATCTGTTCTTTGCACCCAGCTCTACCATACTGTCCGGATTCACTGCCATGCTCACTTTCTGCCATGGACTGCTACCTGGCCCAGCAACCATAGACAGCAGACTCCTTTGCCAGGTAAGGCCTGACATGTCTTGCCCTGGGTGGAAGCCACTCCTACCAGTGGCTCAGTCTCAAATAAGCCTACAGCTATGTTTGGGATCTGCTTAGCCCTCAATGAAGAAGGGGCCAGCTCCCCTTACTCACCTGAGTGGCCAATCCCCAGGCCCCAGCTCTCAGCCCACTGCTTGTCCAGGACCCATGGGTCTTCCCCTCGCTCCAGCTGGGAGATCACATCAGGCTTGGATCCTGGAAGTCCTGCTCGTGGAGAGGGAAGTCCTTTGTTTAGACAACATTTACTGAGCCACCCTCCCCCTGCCCATGCCACCTGAGGACACGAAGAAGGATGGGACCAACCTCCTGCTGGACCTGAGCACCCAGGGTGATAGAGTGAGCCTCCAGGACCAGCCTGCTCTGAGGCCTCCACCCCACAGCCGCCTTCCCTGGGAAGCCCCTGCCCCAGTCCAACACACATAGACACAGAGACAAGGCCTGCTGAGGGGCCTTACCCAGTGAGACCACGTTCCCGTAGGTCTCCATCATCACATTTCGGTAGAGGCCCCTTTGAGCAGGGCACAGGTGGTTCCACTCCTCCTGAGAAAGGAGCACAGCCACATCCTCGAAGGTCACCTTGGCCTGGAAAGATAGGGACTGATGCAAGTAAGACCAAATATTGACACGTGATTGGGAGTGGGTGCAGGCCACACTGGCGGTTGGAGGGAGGAGACCTGTGAGCTGAGGGGAGTGATGGGAACGAGCCCTAGAGTTTGGTGGATGCAGTAAGGGCCAGGCTGCTGCCAGGAGCCTGGCATGAAAAGAACCTCAGGGGCTGGGGACACTGCAAAGGCCTTGGGGACAGCTCACCTGGGGTACTGCTGGCAGCGGCAGGAGCCCGGCTGCTGCCATTGCCGAGTGTTCTGGGGCCTCTGAGGAGGATGGAAATGGAAGAAGCCTGTGGGGCAGAGGAAGAGGGAACACATGAAGGGCCCGGCCTTGACCCCAGCAGACCATAATTTCCTGGGGGAGCCTCAGGGGGTCCCTGGTCCTCATGCAAAGAGTAAGTGAGGTACATGCCAAGATGAGGCCTAAGGAGCTGTGGCCTCTACAACCCTGCTCTTTCCTGCCATGAACTCTGATCCTATAGTTCAGGAGCCTTTCCTGGCCCTAAATAAACACATGGTTCCTGAGTTGGCGGTGGGTCCAGGAAGGTCCCATTTAACAAGTGCCTGGTGTCTCTGATCACCAGATGCAGGGAACATGTTGCCCTCCCCCAAGGGCTCAGGGTCCCAAGCCTTCCCTCTCCAGAATCCCAGGTCTGCGTAGTTGTCTGATCACACCTCTGCACGGGGTAGCCGATAAAGGCCCTGGGTGTCTGCCTGGCTCACCTTGGCCCCAGCCCATGGTTCTGCCCATATACAAGGTCAGTAGCTCATCAGGGCCCTGCATGTTCTACAGCTGAGGCACACAAGGTAGGATGTCAACAGATCAGATGAGGTCTATAGGCGTCAGGCCAAGTTGCCTCCCAAAACATCTTCCCAACAAGGAGAGGTTCAGTCGCCAGGATGGGAACTGGATGGTTTTGCTTGACGCCCACATTCCTGTGGGGACCCCACCCCCCAGGCCCTTAGTCATGCCTGGATATCCTCTGGCAGCTCTGGTGCTCCAATGAGGCAGGGGCTCTCAACTTTGTGGCTTGAAAAGGGTGTTGGCAGCAGAGGCATGAGAAGTGGTTAGTTCTGGGTGAATTGAGTCCAAAGTGACTTAGAGATATGGTCTCAGCACTGAAGGAAGACTTGCCATCAAGTGAGAAGGGGAGGCCTGGGGGTGGGTGGGTGCTAGGGACACACCAGAACAAGGAAGCTGAGGTGTCTGACACATACCCAAATGGCTGGGAAAATGGTGGGCGGGGGGATGACCGAGAGCTCTCCTGACACATTTGGTCCTATAGAGGATAGAGTTCAGATTTCTGGAACATTCAAGGGGAGTATGCATCAGGGATACAGAAACCCAACAGGTGACCAAGGCAGTAGATCATTCCAGAAAAAATGTGATACAAGAATACAATCAACCCTCTATGCACTTTGCTCAGCTGGGCACCACGACAAAGAGGCTGCTTCAAGAGTGAAAACAGTGGGTATCATGGGTCACCAGGAGGAAACAGCCAGAGGGCAGGCAGTCAGAGATATCATAACCCCATTTTCTTTAGAAAACATCAGATATGTGTTTATATACGCATAGGCAACTTTTGGGAAGATAACACAATAAACTAATAACAGCTGCCTCTCAAGAACAGGACAGAGAGACTCAGATAGAGAAAAGCTGACTCAACCTCACCCATCCTGTTCTCCAAAAATGCCCATTCCCCCTAATGTATGTTTGTACATTTCTCTGTGTGTAAGAACAATGCAATTCTAGTTAGAATTCCAACAGGAGTCTTTTAAAGGAGTGAATAAAACTACCTTAGAATTCATATGAACAGATGCTGGAGAATAGGCAAGAATGGAATTTAGAAGAACAGGGGTGGTGGCCTGCCTTGCCAGGTGTCAAAACCAACAATAGGAAGCTGGAAGCCAGTCACACAGATATATGTAGGAATTTAAAAGATGACAGAAGTTGTAAATTTCATTTCAGTGGGAAACTGATCGTCCATTTTAACTTGTACCTATCTAGAGGGGATATGCAATAATCAGTTTCAGATTAAGTAAAGATTAGCTGTGAGTAGTAATAATGGCCTCATGTGCTGTCTCCTGCCCTCCTTGTCCCCGAATCTGGCACTGGCCCCCCTCAAGGAGAAGCATCACCTTCTCTCCTGCTACACCCTGTCCCTTCTGTTGGTCTCCACCAGCACACAGACCTGCCATCTCTCTCATAGTTCAGTCATGCTCCCGGGGACTACACCCTTGTCAAACTACCACCCCATGGGAGCAGATGCTCCCCAGATGGTCTCTGTTCCCTCCTCCTCCTCCAGGGGGAATACCATCTTCACAGGGTGTCATCCTCTCCTGGCCCAGAAGTAGCCCTGGTCAGGGTCTCCCTTGATCTGCCAAATCCAATGTCAATCCTTGGTCTTTGTCTACTGTCTGCAGTAGGGATGCAGTTGGCTTCCTGGGTGCTACTCTCTCAGAGGGGCCTTCTCTTGTGCGTCCCTCTATTACTCCCTTCTTGTGTACCTAGGAATTGACCTTGGCATATTGCCAAGTAAAAAAAAAAGCATATTGCAAAGTATGGCTGTATTCTGGTAAAAAAAAAAATGAACAAAATAAATTTATAACATGGCATTAACAGTTTAAAATTTTTCATTACTTGCACTTTGGCAGATAAAGGTCTGGATGTTCTGGAACAAGCTTACTGCAGCATGCAAAGACAGGCAAATAATATACGCCTCAACCTAAATCTAATAGATTCACAAGTTAGGGAAACAGAACTATCTGGGGTGCTGGGAACTGGCTTTTAAGTAGCCACCTCTTTTGCCTCCCAGGATTCTGAAGCCCAATTCCAGGCTTTGTTCAACTAGAACACAGGAGTTTAGGTGGGAAAGGAGAATGGTGTGAACAGTTTTTTAAAAATTGAAAGACTGGCTCATAACAAGTCTTGAACAGATGTTGGGCACCAGGGCTGGGAATCACCATCAGAGTATCAGAAAGGGTACTTGGGGGACCTAACACTTGGGCAAATCCAAACAGCACCAACCCAGGGTGCTGCCTGTCCATGCAGAGCCTTGGGTGAGCAACAATCCCACCCACCCACCAGTCACACAGGGGGCAGCATGAAGGGTTCATTCTTCAGAATCAGGAATTTCCTTCTTGGAAATCTCCCTAGGGAATAATCCAAAACAAAACCAAGAATACAGCCGTGTTCTCAGCAGCAATGAGCACTCAAGAAGGGAAGAAGCCACACTGCAGTGAGACACTCTGCCAAGCAGCGGGGAAAGGGGAGTCTGGCTCTCATGACCACTGTGAGGCAGGATCTAAAAAAGGGACCACAATGACAGAGATTCAAATTGAAAATTTATTTATTTATTTATTTTGTAAGCTAACCTTTAGAAACCTATCACTCTTTATGGAATTCCTGATGATCTTGATGTGACAAAGCAAGCGTACCTGTCCTTTCAGAGGACCCTGCACATGGTAATATGCTGCATATTAGTCCCTTGATCTGAGATGAGCTGCCAGGATCCGCCCCCAGAGCCACCGCCCTCCCTTCCTCCTCACCATCCTCACTCCCTTGGCTTCCTGCTAGCAAACCCTGCTCTCTCTTCATCTCCACCTCACCTTCCAGGGTGGAGGCAACTTCAGAAGCAGCAGCTTCTAAACCACCTGTGAGTGCAAAAAACTCTAAACACAACCACCTGCAACCTTTCCAGAGTAAATGATCAGAAAAATATAGCCAAATCAATAGCTTTCCTATACACCAGCAACACCTAGTCAGAAAACATAAAGGGAAAAAAGATTCTTTTCACAAATAGCAAGAAGAAACAAGCTTAAACTTTAGAAATGCACAGGATCCCTATGAAGAGAACATTATGGACAAAAGAAGACAACCTGAAAGGCACACATGCCAGGTCTCAAAAAAAAAAAAAAAAAAAAAAAAACCCCAAAAGAGCCCACCCCCGGGGTCCAAAAAAAAAAAAAAATGAAAAAAAAAAAAAACCCCAAAAGAGCCCACCCCCGGGGTCCAAAAAAAAAAAAAAATGAAAAAAAAAAAAAACCCCAAAAGAGCCCACCCCCGGGGTCCAAAAAAAAAAAAAAATGAAAAAAAAAAAAAACCCCAAAAGAGCCCACCCCCGGGGTCCAAAAAAAAAAAAAAAAAAAAAGACACCTCAGATCACGGCGATGTTAATCTGTCCACTTCATCCACAATGTTAACACGTTTCTTACTCCTGGGGTGGGTGTGGGGGATTTTACAGACACCAAGTACTTTTACATTCATCTGGGAGAATAAACACACACAGGGGGATCTCTGAGACAGAAAAAAAGAGGACCGAGGGGCTGCCACAGTGCCACGGTGACAACAGCAGACACAGGGCAGAGCAGGGTGAAGTTTATATAAACTGATGGTGGGGATGAGGACATTCAAATGGCTAGGGGAAAGATGATTCATTAAGTGGTATTAGGATGATGGGTTAAATGCTTAGGGAATATAATTAAACCTTTATATAAAGCTCATCAAACTCCCAGAAAGTAGAGCAAAGACAGAGATTTTTAAAAGATCAGATCATCTCATATTATATACTGAAAGTCTAATGAATCCATTAGACTAACGAATAAATATGAGTTAAAATTTAAAAACTACAGGAAGAGCAACTGAATAAAAATACAGGTGAGTTTTTATTGTTTGATGTGGGAAAGACCTTTCTAAGCAAAAAATAAAATAAAATAAAACCAAAAACAAATGCAGAAAGATAAAGTCAACAAATGGGCCTAAAGATACGTAAGGATTTAGTATAAAACAAAGGAGTTTTTCAAACCAATAGAAAGATGAATCATTGTGTAGATGGTATTAGAAACGGCTATTATCTAGGGGTGAAAAAAAAATGAAGCTGGATTCGAAACATCCCACACCAGAATAAATTCCAGATGGATCCAACATTTTACAAATACCAGAGAAAAACGAGATTTATTTTAAAAGTAAAGTTGTTGTGAGGGAAAGTCCTTTAAAATACATCCCAAAGCCCCCAAACCTTAAGGGAAAAATATTTGACCATTATAACCCCCAAACCCCAAACCAGAACAGGGCGCCGCCGCACAACCAGCTGGGAGGCGTCTCTTCAGCGCGGGGGCAGCACGCTAACGGCTGCGTCCGCCGCTCCCCACACCGCCGGCGCCCGGGCCATCACCGCAGGCTTTCTTCTGTCAAATAATTAAAAGTGACAAACGGAAAACGGCTTCCACGTCGAGAAGGTTGGTCTCGTCATGACGACGGGGCTCTTGCGAGCAGCGCAGCGCCGGCGGTAGGGCGCGGGCGGGGGCTCGGCCAGCGCCCC